TCAGACTTGCCAGAAGAAGTACAGTTTATCTGTAGGCAGTGCTGTTCAGAACAGGAGACGCTGAACTGGTACAAAGAGCTCATGGAGGAGATGGAAGCTGGTTATGAACGGGTAAAGTCAAGTTTTTTTTTTGTAAACAATATTTACAACAGCATTTGCTCTAAGAGCCTAAAGGGCTCATCTAGAGTGCTTATGCTGTTTGCCTTAAATATTCCAAAAATATAAAATTTGTATTTAATATACGTCACGATTGAACACACGCACATAAAAAAAGCAAAAAACAAGAATAAATAAAACACACACACAGCAACTAACACAAGCAATTTGATAGCAAAATAAACAACTGGACAAGCTGAAACATCCTAACGTTAATTTGAAAATCAGCAGTAGAAATACCATTTAAAAGTCAATCGACTTATTTCTTATCTAAGGCACAATGCCATCTATTTCTAACAATTGGAAGTCAAGTTTTGTTACATGACCTTACCCTCCTCACCTCTTCACACTCCATTATGCATAAGGCCTCCACACTTCTCCTTTGTTTGTTTTCAGTAATAATAAATTTTTATGTGGGGACAGTACATTAACCCAACGCCCAACCCACAGCATGGTGGGCCAGTTGTTGCAATTCGTCTGGCCTTTTATCCAAAACCTGGCCAGCACAGCTGAACCCACCAGGGAACATAGGCCCAACTGGTATAGCTTCCACGTTCATAAAGGCACACAAATCTCCCACCATGTTAAGGAGCAACACTTAGGGAGGTCAAGTTTTCTTACATTACCCAATAGAAATGACATTCCTAGATATGATCTCAAGCGGTTCCGGAATCGACAGGGTTCATCTTGACCATGAAGTTGGAGTGGAATGCTTGGAATAACATCATTGTTCAGAGCAGCCTGACTGAATGGGCTTAAAAATGATGATGATGATGATGATGATGATGATGATGATGACGTGCACACGTTGTCCTTGATTGAATTAATTTTTTAATTTTCTTTCTTTTTCTTAGATTTTGGAAGAAATAAAATCTTGCGAGGCTTATAGTCTTTTCCAGTCTCACTTTGAACAGGTATGCCAGTCAATAATAATAATTATTGTTATTGCCCTGCTCATAAGTTATTGCAACTAATTGTCTCAGGACTTTATCTATAGAGCCTTTCATTACTAAAAGAAACATGCTTTGCCTACTCCTGTTTCATCTTCCAGCTACAAGTGGACAATGGGCATCCTAAAGATCTGGACAGTATTTCAGCAAAAGTGAAAGAGAAAAAGTACATAACTGTGGTATGTATGTTCTTCATGTACAGGGAAATCTTGAATTAATTGCTGGCAAGCACGAATGAGACAGAACACTCTTCTTTATTAAATAGGTAAAATCTAAACTTTTGTTAGGATTGTTAGGTTTCTGACAAGTGAACAGTGTTGCCTCATCAGGTGCCCATTTCTTAAAGATCCCAGTATTTACTGGGCCCAGGGGGTTGTTCTAAGTTTGCTATTTTTACATTCAAGAACTGTAAGTGATACAAAGCAATTTAAGTTATGCTCAGATAATGAAACAAAATGCACCAGTTTGGAGGTTAGAGCCAACACTTTCTAACAATGATTCTTTAGATCTTGATTTTAAGCCTTTCACTGCCAAATGTGGCCAAGGGCAAATTTCGACCAAATTTCCAAATTTCATTTTCTAAAATTTTGGGAAACAAATGACATCATGTCAAAGTACAGGCAGAGAGCTTTCATTTGAATGGTCACATCATAGGATTTCATCCATAGACTCAAAAGTTAGAGTCACCTTACAAAACCCCATCAAACACTCTGGCAGTGAAAGGGTTAAAATGTGCCTTTGGCCTAAAAAGGTTGCAGGAATTTAGAGAGACTGGCCTGTAGACACTTTGGTTAATTAGTTTTTTTGCTGAGTCGAAGAGAAATTGGGTCAAAGATCCATTATTAACCACACAGTTGACACAGTCAAGGAATGCATCTACTTTTGAATGCTTAACCTTCCCAGGCAATGTTGCTTACAACTAAAATAATTTAAAATCTTTCTCTGCTCTTTATTCACTATATTGCTTTTGAAATCTCATTTCCCATAACCTTCTTCTTCACACATGTAGCTCTTACTGCTAGTATCTTCTTCCAGTTCAAACGCCAGCACTCACTCTCATGTTGAAACTCCTGTTTTACTTCATCATAATCCAAGTTAGTGTAACCAGTAATTCTTTTGGAGAGGCAAGAATGCATATTCACAAAATTTACTGACATCTTATAAACCCAACTGTGTTTGCTCTTGCAGGAAAGCTTTTGCCATGACTTGAGGGGAATTTTAGACAAAGTGTATCGACTTGTAGAGGCTGATCTTGAACTAACAAAACAATGGTCTTCTCTTTTTGCATCATTTTGCAAGGTGATTATTTTGGACATAGATTACTGTGATGTTAACTGAAAAGCTCAACGAGAAAAACAAACATTAACTAAACAAAAAAGCATTACTCCAAAATCATTCAAGGGTGCAAATTGTTTTTCTGCAATGTTCCCTATTGTTTTGTTGTGGTTGCTTGAAATTTTGTTTTATTTTTATCGTTCTTGTCATTGTATGTATTTACGACCATTATTTGTTCTATATTTTAACACTCAGGAACTGGCGTTGATGTTTCCTTGGCATACACTGAAGGATAATAAGGATACCAGTGAGAATCAACCAGTACTTCCTCCCAAGTAAGCTAAAAAAAGTTTTGATCTTAGACCTCAAATGTAGTAGTGTAACGATTAATCGAATTCTTGATTAATTGCGATTATGACCGTTCGGTTCGATTCACGATTCTTTGCTTCCACATTTCAATTTTGCTTTGATTTTTCCATATCTTTTCCAGGTTGCCCTCAGTGAGTTATTATATTGTAGTTCATGCACCATTTTGTGTTGCCTGGTAAAAATGCTGTCCTTCAACCACTCCTTGAGAACCATCTTTGTCAGGTTCTCAAACAGGCTATGAACCAAGCGACTGTGAATCCTCCTGTCCCTGTTACTATTCTCAAATTACATTATGTTATAAGAATTAAGAAACATTTACATAATCGAATCGAAACAATCGAAATCAANATGCATATTCACAAAATTTACTGACATCTTATAAACCCAACTGTGTTTGCTCTTGCAGGAAAGCTTTTGCCATGACTTGAGGGGAATTTTAGACAAAGTGTATCGACTTGTAGAGGCTGATCTTGAACTAACAAAACAATGGTCTTCTCTTTTTGCATCATTTTGCAAGGTGATTATTTTGGACATAGATTACTGTGATGTTAACTGAAAAGCTCAACGAGAAAAACAAACATTAACTAAACAAAAAAGCATTACTCCAAAATCATTCAAGGGTGCAAATTGTTTTTCTGCAATGTTCCCTATTGTTTTGTTGTGGTTGCTTGAAATTTTGTTTTATTTTTATCGTTCTTGTCATTGTATGTATTTACGACCATTATTTGTTCTATATTTTAACACTCAGGAACTGGCGTTGATGTTTCCTTGGCATACACTGAAGGATAATAAGGATACCAGTGAGAATCAACCAGTACTTCCTCCCAAGTAAGCTAAAAAAAGTTTTGATCTTAGACCTCAAATGTAGTAGTGTAACGATTAATCGAATTCTTGATTAATTGCGATTATGACCGTTCGGTTCGATTCACGATTCTTTGCTTCCACATTTCAATTTTGCTTTGATTTTTCCATATCTTTTCCAGGTTGCCCTCAGTGAGTTATTATATTGTAGTTCATGCACCATTTTGTGTTGCCTGGTAAAAATGCTGTCCTTCAACCACTCCTTGAGAACCATCTTTGTCAGGTTCTCAAACAGGCTATGAACCAAGCGACTGTGAATCCTCCTGTCCCTGTTACTATTCTCAAATTACATTATGTTATAAGAATTAAGAAACATTTACATAATCGAATCGAAACAATCGAAATCAAATTGAATCGCAAGGAATATGAATCGTTACACCCCTACTCAAATGTAGTCAAATTCAAAGTGAAAACAAAGTATTAACTACAACACCAGAATATGATTATGCATAAAAATAACAAAGTAGTGTAAGTGCTTAGTTTGCCTCACATAATTTTCTGGAGACTCAAGAGCTGGAACTACATTTTTAGTAATAGATACCCCTATATCTAACTTGAGACAGTGTTTCATCACAAGATCAAACACTGCGAACAGAAATGAAAATATGACTCACAGCAAGTTAATTATCTCAGTGTGGTGTAAAAAGAAGTAGAGAAAAGAAGCGGCTGGTGTAAAATACAGCTCACTTTTCCACAGGTCAGAGTACAGGTCATCATGATACAGATAAATGAATAGCATTAAAAGTTTCTCGTAGCCCTAATCCCTTAACAAAATGCTCTATTAGATTGAAAGAATCTGCAGGGTTTGGTAATTCATCGATGGGGCAGTGACCTGTACTCCTGACTTGTGGAATGTGACAAAATAATCATGCAAATTTTAGTTATCACTAATGTGAACTGCCTCCTCACTGCCTTGATTCTCATTCACATCTATTTTACCTTGTGCAGTGGATTCATTGGACCCAGTATTTGCTTTGATAGCTGGGATCATGCTTACGCCTGTGTGGAGGATTCCGAAAGAAAATCAGATCCTAAACCTTCAATAACAATCCAGTCTCCCCCTCCTGAGTCCGCATCCAACTGCCCTGAAACAAAAGGTAGGATTGTTTTACACATGTACGCATCTTTCTGGTACACTGAGTTGTATTAGCAGCCTGGGCCCAGTTCCTCAAAGGATGGTTTAGTGTAACCCAGGATTAAGCCAAATTTTAAGCAAGGTTTTCTTGTCTTTGAGCAGGTACCTCGAGCTTACATACTTAATATTGAGATTTGAGATACAGTAATGCCAGCATAAAATGTTTCTCCCAGAAATATGTAGGAAGGTAAATTCAAAAATTGAACAAAATTTTAATCCTGGATTAGTGCTAATCAACTTTTCATAAACTAGGCCCCGGTGTGTGTGTGTGTGTGGGGGGTGGGGAGAGGGGTTGGGAGGGGAGGGAATATCCGTATGAAAATGATGGGTGCTTGAGGCCTTGGGGGAGGGTGGTAAATTGGTTGCTTGGTTTTGTTAAAAGGTGAATTTTTCACTAGTAAACTTGCTCAGAGACTGTCCGTACTTTCCATTTACAGATAATGAAGAAAAGATGGAGATTGACAATGAGAATATTGCAGAAAAAACAGTTAAAAACGAAGAACCAATGGAATTGGACGGCAACAGTGAAGAAAAGAGGCAGTCATTAATTGAGGTAAAGCAGATACTATGTCCAATTTTGCACCCAGGCTTAACGGTCAGACAGTTTCTTCCATCACGTTAGGAGACACCATTTTATTCAACCGTAGCAAAAAGCAGTAAATAGCCAGGGATATTCCAGGTTATTGAAGCTGATTTGGTAAATACAGAAACTCATAAGGGGTTGAAACGTGTAACTCTCATGTTTTCGCAAATACTATATTTGGATCGAGAAGAAAAGATAACTGACCAATTAAACTTCGTAAAAGACGTGACGTAATTTTAGTCCGCTCACCCGCGAAAGTTCAGAAAATAGGGAGCTTGCAACAACGAGCTGGACGGCTACGAAAATGTCTCTTAAAAAGTGAATTCGTGAAAACTTTATCGAGCCTGTTCCATCTCGTTCAATTCGACAAATGTTAGCAAATGTTTCTGGAGGTGAATTCTAAAGACTGTATCGAAGTACAGGAAAGAAAAACAAAGTCGTTGTCTTGTGTTGTCGCCCTCCCCAAACGATAAATTAGGCACTCTCACGTTGTAATCGTACATTGACGGCAAAAAATGTACAAAAGAAGCTTGAACGCGAGTTACACGTTTCAACCCCTTATGAGTTTCTGGTAAATATTAATGACATTTAGTAAAATCCAACTAGTGGTCTATTATCATTGCTACGTTCTGATTGGCTGAGCTACTACTTGGCTATATGCTATAGCCCACTGGTAGGAAAAAGCGCCGGCTTTTCGGCAGCAAAAAGGGATTAACGCCTAGCTTTAACTAGCTACAGTTGTTTTGTCTCGATATTTTCGACCAACTAGTTGGATTTTACTAGAACAATTTTTCCTCTCGCCCTCTTGGCCTCTAAGTCAATAGCCCATTCGGGCTCGAGGAATAATTGTTAAATATCTACCAGAAAAATCACCATCCAGTGGATAAACCGTGCGTATAAACTAAATGCTTTATCCGATAGCGATTTATCCAGTGAGCAAAGGGGGGCAGGAGAACTTCCTCTAATGGCCTATACGGGAAGACCCCGCCCGAAAGGGGTACATTTTTCAGGCTTCAGGTATATGAAAGGGTAGGGATTTCACTAGTTGAAGTATATGAAAAGGAAGGGAAATCTGTCATTTCTGTCTGTAAAAAGGCCCAAAAGGGCTAACAAATGCATTTTATGGTTGTAAAAGTCTAGGTTTCACTGTCGCCCTACGTGGGATGAAACATTGGTCTTCATGTAGATGAAGAGGATGACTTGTTAATGACCTAGATTAGTAAGACATTAAACACTATCCTTTTGCCCAAGCTTCGTTGTTAATTTTCAGGAGGACACCAGACGTTGTCTTCTGTGTGGTGTCACAAGAGATGCCGAACCCTCCGGCCCTGGCCGCCTCATTTGTTGTGGTTTGGATGAGTGGGTGCACGTGAATTGTGGCCTTTGGTCTGCAGAAGTGTTTGAAGATGATGAGGGCCGATTGCAGAATGTTCAAGCGGCTTTGTCTAGAGGCAAACAAATGGTGAGAGTGCTTTTGACTGTTTTTGTTTATCTTGAGAGCAAGCTGTTGTGGTGTCGTAACCTATTCCGGGGGTATTTACACTTGTACCATTTTCATGGGACATCCGGTAATTCCGGTAGGAAATCAAATGGTTCCCGCCATTCCGTGATTTGAGGCGATGCAAGTGTTGCATTGTGTAGCCACGTCAAGTCAAACGCAATGCGCCCAGTATTGCAAGCAGTGTGCGAAATGCTGTGTAAAACATTGCCGCGTGTAAGTGGAATATGTTGCTCGCAATAAAGCAATATTGTTGTGTACGGGCCTTGTGGTTACACTAAGTGTTGCATCGTGTAGCTGTTGTAGCTAGATTTCAGGTTAAATCAGTATTCAACTTAGCTTTAGTTAAAATTTACAGTTTCCTAGCCCCAGTTATTCATAGCAGACAAAGGAAATTCTGAAATTCTGGTTAAACCTGAGAACAGATTTTACCTACAACATAGCCACGTTAAATAAAACGTATTGCACCCAATATTGAAAGCAGTGTTGTTCCCTGTGTCCGAGCCTTAATGTTACAGCGTATAACCACGTTGAGTGAAACGTATTGCGCCAATATTACAAGTACTGTTGTTGCTGTGTTTGGGCCAATGCAAGTGGCGACATTTGCTAACTTATTTGTTCTGTTTTTAGAAATGCGAATACTGTGGAGAGGTAGGAGCTACTGTGGGGTGTTGTGAGCCTAGATGTCCTATGAATTATCACTTCATGTGTGCAAGAAAAGCGGAAGCTCAGTTTCAAGATGACAAGAAAGTTTACTGCGCCCAGCATTCCTTTAGGATAAAGAAAGAGGTTGGTTCTTGTGGAATGGATGATATTCACTGATTTCTTGATTTCTGAATGAAGGTTTTGATTCTAAGGCTATGCTCACACGTTACTGAATATCTCCTACGCCAGCACGAAAACCATTCCGGATAGGTCTTCTTAGACTTTCTAAAAGTCCCTTTTCTTCCTCGTTGGTTATGACATTTTGAAGGACTTTTCACACCTTTTTGGCGCAAAATTCACCGGTCGAAAATTCTACCGGTGACGTCATGACAACTGACTAATAGGACAGCATATACCGCTCCCGACACAGCATATGTCAATCATTCTTTTCCCGCGTAAATTTATAATATGGTTCAAATCCATTTAGGCGAAAAAGTCGACCTCAAGACTTCGTCGCTCGCTCGGTCGCAACGCGACCTCAGTCATGTATTGAAACTCGACTTGAGCAAGTCTAAGGAGGTCGACTTGTAGCAAGTCTAAGGGCTTCTGTTCAGACGTAACAACAGTGATTTCAGCGCGATCTCTGTAACGAAGCTGCGTCGCGCCGATCTCGAAAAGTAGGGTGTCAGATATCGAATAGGTTCTTTGCCTTAAGCCTCACTTTGGTGCACTGTGAACAGGTATTCGGACCGTAATGGAAGAGGATAAGTATAGGAACGAGTAGCCTGTGTACAAACCCCCCCCCCCCCCTCCCTCCCCTAAGGAAAAATCGGAGAGGAGAGCAGGGGTCTGTACACAGGCTAAGGAACGAGAGTCCACAAAGACGGAAGTAAATATTCAGGAGTGAGGACTGGGATTTAGTTAACCAAACTCTCTTGGCCAACCGCCCCGGCACGATGTCCTGTGTGTGAACAACGTATTTAGGTTCTGTGCCTTGCTGTTGACACTATGCCTGATAGCTGTTTGTGGCTGCACCAATTTTAAGGCATCCAGTATAGTATGAACATAGCCTAAATCCTAGGGAGAATAAAACTCACTAACCAGGTCCCTAGGGATCTCTAGACTCGCACGTGATCAGATCGTGTACCTTAAAACGGCGGAAAATCTGTGTGTTGATCGCCCCAAGCAAATATATATATATATATATTTTTTACTGCCATGGGCGAGGAACGAGTTGAGTTGCGAGGTATGACTAAACACCTAAATAGCGAACTTTGTTTCTTATGAGGGCAGCGTGCAAAGAAAGTGGATTTTGCTATCGGGCTAGTGATTTTTCTTCTTAACTTACCTGACAGGCAAGTGCTGTTTTTTGGGGGAAATTCAAATTACAGAAGGATTGTAATCAATCCTGCTAATCAAAAAGGGTGTTGGGGCTAGTTGAAATGACTTGTGGGCTAGTACATGCTAGCTACAGCTTACCCGAATGGCAGGCTGTAAAACTGACTTTCTTTGCACCCTGGAGGGCCTTGCGATTTAAAATATCTCTTTTCTCTCTTTGTAGCTGTTGATGGAAAATGATGATTTCTGTGTGGAGCGCCGTGTTTGCGTGGACATGAGCAAAATCCGAGCAACTAAGAAATTTTCAAGAGGCTTCCAGCCAAGCTCTATTAACCTTGTGCAAGGTAACGTGCGTGCTAATTATAGGAAAGGTTACATTTGCCACTTTGGTTACTTAAAATTCTTTTAAAAAATTACGAGTTTTCAAGAATCTGAAGGTTTTTGTCTTTATTTCTTCTCTAAAGGCTCCCTCACCATGGAAAACATGGGCAAACTGAGCGAATATTCAGACACAAAACAGGCGTTATATCCCATTAATTACAGGTTTGTATGTTTTAATAAATATGACCATGAATATCTAAATTTAAATTAAAATGTTGAAAGGTTTTAACCCCGGAGTCATTTCATAAGTACGTGGAGCTATGATCATGCTCCGAACTACGAAGAGCTAGCAAACCTCGATCAAAGTCAGGTCATGTGGCTTTTGTTGCTTTTAGACGGTAATGTCTCTTAGTTTAAATGTTGGAACTTCGTAACTCTTTTAGTAAATAAACCTTTATTTTCATTGGTCTTGAAAACACGCCTTCCATCCCTTTTATGGAGCTAACGAGAGAGAATGCGTTCATTTTCTTTTGGGAGCGAGTTAATAATCAACTCACGGGGGTGTTGTCCCTTCCTAATTTGCGAAAAAACAGATCATTGTACCTGAAAATGAAAGGGCTATAGGCTACATTTTTAGGGAACAGATACGCCGTTCGCGTGTTCCGCCTGCCTTACGATCTCTGGGGATAATAAGGAACTGCTCAGGCGTAGTCTTTATATGTCGGTTTTTTTCTGTACTGTGAATATGAATAAGGTATGCTGTTACTTATCTTTGTTGATGTTGTTGTTTGTCAGAGTAAGTCGTCTATACTGGAGTGTGAAGGATCCGACCAAACGGTGCCGTTATTATTGCACAGTTGAAGAGAAGAAAGTCAAAACATTTGTGAAGAAATCACACTCAGAAAAAGAAAAGGAGTTAAAAGACCTACAAGACTTACACAAAGTTATTTCCCATGAAGAGATTAAAAAAAAGGAAAAGGCAACTAAACACTTACCATCATCGCACGGAGATGTTAAAGAAATAGTTCAGCCTCGCGTCAGCAACAAATCCAATGATTTGTTGAACAGTTCTTATGCAAAGAAACTGAAAAAAATAGCTCCTCATCCTGGGCCTTCGCTAATTAATCACACTACTTTTCCTGGAGTACTCTTTAATGATGCAAGCTTGGTCGCTTCAAACGCAAATTCGCATTTAGCTAAACTTCGAAGAATTCTTCCTGCTCCTCAAAAACCGCCAGCTTTACAAATTTCTCCGGCGAACTCACCGAGTAAACTGCTTCAGCACTTAGCTCAGCAAAGCAAGCATATACCAAGGATTTTAAGCAATGCATATGCCCGCCTACCACAGAAACCTCCTCAAAAATCTACCCCGACATCGACACCAACAGCTCATAGAACTAGAAAAAGCCCTCCTGTAGCTAAGAGAACTTCTAGCCTCGACGAGAGTATTCCGCAGACTGTAAGACAATTAAATTGCGATCACGAAGTTGTGGCAAAAACAGCTGATGCGGAAATTTCTAATTCGCCTGTTAAGGATAAGTCTGCTAATGCTTGGTTAACGAATCTAAGAGACCGTGCAAGTGTTTCAAACGTGGAGGAACTCCACGTCAAGTTCGTTATCACAAATGATGAAGGGTTCAAGATAGAGGCTGACACTTGTGAAGGTAGGATATAGAAGCCTTTTTACCCCCCCCCCCCCCTCCCTTGCGAGTCTCCTTCCGTCTTCTTCTTGTTCCAGGAGAAGAAAAGGAGTCTGCGTAAAGCCTTTGAAGTCGCCGCAGCCCGAACGTCTGGACCAGTCAATCTTACTTTTTTTCGTCAAACTGGTTTTTCGAGTGCGAGCATCTGTTTATTGACAAGCGGATGGTCATAACTGCCCACTGAATCAAGCGCACGGCTGTTAGGCGTGGATCATTCTCTTCCCCAGAGCCACTCGGCTTAATTTGTGTTTCAAGACCACGTGACCATGAAACGACGGACTCTGGGGACGAGAATGGTGTGGATTCGAAATTGTATCGCAGCATGAAGCGCATGCTCAGCGATGGTTTTACTCGTTTCTCGCGTACGCCAAAAGAAAGGCTCTGACATAGCCCTTAAGTCTAGCCAATCAGAACACGGTTGCTTTATGTTGTAATAGAAAAGATATTTAGAAGTAAAAGCAAAAACCATTCACATCATAGTGACTTGCTCACAAGCGTTTTTGCCCTTTTTTTCGTCGGGTCTCCACGCTCTAAGATTGGTTGAAATAATATTGTAGCTGTTTCTTAACAGAAGTAAAAGGTAGAAAAATCGTGTTACCATAACCTGCTCGCACGCGTTTTTCTTTTCCCGCGCTTTGAAGCCGCTACATATAATTGCTCCGAGATGTGATTGGTCCATTTTATTGTTAGTTCGTGTTGTGACTGGTCAGTTAATTTATCTTAGTTTTGCTGTTCAAAACTAGTCTATACAACAGTAGTAGTTTTTCGTTCCTCCCTAATTATTCTCTGGTATGCAATGACACTGACTTTTTTCTTTTGTGTTTAATCTCAGCTGCGTGGAAGCAGGTTTTCGATATGGTCCAGGAAGCGAGGATTGATCGACGTTTGAAGCTGGTTCCCTTTGCAGGTTCTCAGTATTGTTTTGTTGTTGTAAGGGTTATGAAGAAGTGTCCTGCATGTCGTAAACGAAAAAAAAAACTAGTAGCACTGTTAAATGTGTAAAACGTGCATTGCTTATTTCAGTAAACCAACATAATATTGGAAGTGATATTATCTTTTTTTTGAAGATTGCTTTAATATCTAACATGTACCACCTTTCTATATCTGGGCAATTCAGTGTTTCTCCTTCAAAGGATCTGCAAACTAAGTTGATAAAACCCAACTGTTGTGTTTCGCAGTTTCGCCAACACAGCTCCGCATTTTTAAATAATTCCTTGTATTCGTTGCTGACAGGTTATGATTTGTTACTTTGCAGGTGTGAATGGAAAAGCAATGTTTGGAGTACGTCAGGTAAGTGTCTTGGATGACGTCATTAATGATGATGATGATGATGATGATGGTGGTGTTGATGATGATGATGATGATGATGATGATGATGATGATAATGATGGTGACGACGATACTGACCGACAGACAGAAAGACTGACACTTTATTTCAACACGACGTTTCTTCAAGTTTAAGACGCTGGTTTCCATAAAGCCGTGCATGCAATAAAATATCAAAACATGATAAATAATTACAAAAATTGCAGATACACAAAACTGAAAAAAAAATTAATTAGTGCGCTGGAGACCGAGGTTTCGCACAGATTTCCCAAAAATCTCGAGGCGGTTGTGCTTCAATTATAGTTGGGAGGAAATTCCATAGATTAGCACCGCGATGGGAAAAGAAAGGAGGAGGGCAGATGTCGTGAAATATTGTCAGTAACTAATTAAAGAAACAAAAGATGACATGGTAGGAAAATTTACATGTAAAAGAAAAAGCATGCAAGCTAAAAAAGGTAACGTTTTTCCTTGCTGACATTTTCATTTAGGGAGGGTTTTAAATCCTTTCATAACATAAAATGGGACCATTTCGAATATTTGGCAAGAGGACGGTCGGACACCCATTGCAAGATACAGGAGACTCTGTAGCATAGCATATGTGTTTTTTTGTTTCTTTAATTAGTTACTTACTCTAAGCCAATCAAATTGTGGAAATTTCTCATGTAGTAGTATAACTATTGTTATTCAACGGTTTGTTGTCAGTAACAATTTTGATGACTTGTTTTTCTGTTTTAAAGGAATCGATCGTGTCCATGTTGGAACAGTTACCAGGGGCCCATCAAGTCAAGCATTACTCCTTCAAGTATAACCCACCGTTTGACATAAGCAGTTTAGAAGGAACTGCTGAGCAGGTGAGGCTAAAAGTCTTTCTCGTCGATTTTGAATCAATTTAACACTAAAATAATATGAAATTTTTCTTTTTCACAGGTCTTAAAAGAAAATCCGCATGGTTGTGCTAGAGCTGAAGTGTTTAACAGGTTAGCAAATAACTGAACCCCTTTTATCACTAATTAAATGCTACCTCAACATCTCGTGAACGTGCAAAGAAGTTCATTCACAGACTTGAAGTTAGAAACATCTCCTATAGGATGACAAACAGCACCATATAATAATAATAATAATAATAATAATAATAATAATAATAATAATAATAATAATAATAATGAGTAATTTTTTAAACAGGCTTCTAGTAGAGATAATTATATCATGTCTTTGCGCAGGTTTTACAGAGTATAAAAACTTAATAATATTCTAAATTGGCTTTTTAAGTAAAGAGATTCATATCATTATGTTTATTAGGATCGTATTAGGTTTCGCACCGACCTTTTTTTACTTCTAAGAGTAGCTTCTCAAGTGGTGTAGGTTACGTTATGCGCCCTATACTACTCATATTGTGAACAGCATTCCAAAGTTTTATACTGCGAGGTAATAATAATAATAACAATCTTTATACAGGGAGCTCACTTCACAAAGGGTGATATTCAGTGAGGCCCTGTATGAAATTACAGGCTGCCCTGTAAAGACTCCACGCGGCCGGGCTCAAACTTAAGACAACCCTGTGCAGCTTAATAAACGATACTACCGAAAAGAAATTCTGTGAGGCTTTCATTTCAATGCTCACACTTTAAATTTCATCCACAGACTCAAAAGTTAGAACCACAGCATAATCGACCCGTACCACAGGAGAGTACTGCTCAGTAGGTTTCATTTTAATTCATCTCACCCTAAGATTGCGTCCACAGACTCAAAAGTTGGTTCATTGTACATTTCACTTCCCACTTAGGGCAAAATGTTGGCTTAGGGGAGGGGTAGGTGGACAGTTTCTCAGAAACGTATAATGGTCCCTAAACTTAGACCCACCTTGTATAGCATAGTAATCAACACCTTGGAAAGTACTACTCAGTAGCTTTCATTGGAATATTTTGCACGTCAGATTCAGAATCACTATCAAACTCTATCCATAGTCCTTATTACTCATTCCAATCCTTTCTACTTGTGTTCCTTTTAGATCCAAAAAGTACGACATGTTTGCCTTCTTGGCGTCAGTCCATCGTGTACCTCCTCAGTTGGAAGAAGGTTCAGAGGAGCAAGAGAATGCAGAACAGACTCGAGATGGACCGCTTACTGTTAAGTATGTATGCTCTGAATAAACCACAGAACGTTGACGTCACTTACATTTTTTTGGGCAGCGAAATTCTTTGAGCAAAGATGGCAGTAATCAGTCTATGTGCGAATTCCGCGTCTACGGTGTTAATTTTCATTTAAGATGCTGTATGCGTTCCTTACCAACATGGTGTCTTGGTAGAACATGTCTTTTCAAGAAAGAAAAATTGCTTGCTGTTCTGTGCTAGCATTATATTTTATTAATCAAAGATTAATCCACACCTTTAAGGGAGTGAAGGAGAAGGAAAATGTCTGTTGCTAATGCTCGTAAGCGAACAAGAGCGCATGCGCCAACAAAGACTGTATTATCACAGGGTTATCACAGGCAGATCACCCTCTGTTGGTGTGGCAGTTGTTGTTATTGAAATCTGAGCGTCGATGATTTGTACTCAGTAGAAGAAATACTGATGGCCATTACGGCGGCTACAATTTACTCCAAAACGCACATGTTAACGTAGATGTTTCAATAAAAGTTCAAGCGAAATGTTAACTTTGTCAGTTGTGGCTCCAATATTACGATTTGCGACTAAATCATTTTGGTTTGAACAATTGGATCATTGTACGTTTCTGGGAAACTTCCCACCCACCCCTCCCCCTAAGCCAACATCAACTCCTACTTCTCACTAAGGGCAAAGGTTGGCTTAGGGGAAGGGTAGGTGGGCAGTTTCCCAGAAACGTATAATGGTCAAAATGTGTGCTCAGGGGAGGGGTAGGTGGGTAGTTTTCCAGAAACGTATAATGATCGAACAAGTTACTTTGCAGACGTCCGACCTGCCTTGACCTTCCAATGGCCATGAGGTACCGCCACCTTAAACAGTGTCAATTCAACAAGGATGCCGTTGCTGTATACAGGTGTGTATTTTACCGTGCCATTAGCCTGCGAGCAAGCTTCCATTTATGGCGGGTGAAGAAATCCGCGAGAGAACGCGCGAGTACCCCTCTCACTCGCTACTCCTTTTGCGTGCTGCTCTCGCGTGACTTCCCGCGGCTCCCCCAAATGGAGAGCTTGCTCTTCCTTAGAACCGGCCGTTTAATTCCTCAACTTCCACGGATGCCTCTAGTTAAATAATAAAGAAATCCCCGATTCCTGGAAAAAAGAAACTTGCTTGTAAGCGAGGCTTTAGCCTTTATGTAACTCTTTAAGAAAGCAAAGCGGCAGACGAAGAAAGCAGAAAATAGATACGGGCAAACAAATGTTGTGAAGCTGCAAGGTAAGAAAACTTTTACCGATGAGGAGGTCGATTTTCAGTTTGGTTATTACAATTTGCCCCCAAACCAATCAAGTCAATAACCAGAGTTTAATACCATCAACTGACGTGACACAACATCACTTTGACTCTGAAGATGCGGACTACTGGAGTCGTTGTCGAAACATTAGTCGCTGTCAACAACAGCCCTGCTTAGGACTATGATCACCCTGACGATCATGTCGGCTACCTATTTGTGAGATGACTCCAGGGTTCAAACCTGTCACTGATTAGTTAACCGTGGTGGCAAAGTAAATTTGCTTGCTTATTCGTTTCTATTTTAATTTTCTTTCAATGCAGATCTCCCATCCACGGCCGTGGTTTATATTGTACTCGTAACATCGCTGCGGGCGAGATGGTGATCGAGTATTCTGGAATGTTGGTGCGGTCCGTTCTTACGGACAAACGGGAGAAATACTACGAGAGTAAGGTATGATCTTTAACAACTTGTGGCAGAATCTTTCGCGTTGTGCTGGCAATGGTAATGAATTTATCACATTCTTTGTGAGGATTACTTTCTCAAGGTGCGCGTTCAAAAAAGCGAGTATTTTTAAGATGAGCCTGCGTAACAGGCGCACAAAAAAATATGGGCACGCGGCAAGCTATGCGTGCGAGAGAGGACAACACGCTCGAGGTGAGAGGTAGATTTTTCTTCTGGCGCGCATCCCCCTTGCTCTTTGCCTCAGCTTTTGCTTGTGCTTCATATTGATTTTTCGTGCGCCTTCTGCGCAGGCTTCTTAAAGCGTGAGTCTATAAACGAGCAGGCAAATAACAGACTTAAACTTGCTTTTGGCGCACTTTGCGGGTGTGGCTACCCTGATCGACTGTGGGAGGTTTTTTCGCTCGATGACTTGTTTATTTCCGGAAACTGAAGCCTATTTGGGAAGCTCTTGGGTAGAGCCTTTTATTAGATCTAGAAACTTCTTGTAATACAAGAAATTAACTCCATAGAATTGGCAGTTTTTCAGTTAGTCGCTTTGTATGAGTTAGGATCAAAGATCCATCTGCCTGTCGATCCATTATCACTAATTTGTTTTATTTTTCAGGGTATTGGCTGTTATATGTTCCGTGTTGATGGTACTTACGTTGTCGATGCCACCATGTGCGGAAACGCTGCCCGCTTTATCAACCACTCCTGCGAGGTAACTAACCAGCTTCTCTATTCAAATTAGTTACGTTTGGCCCTGTATAAAACGTTATGTAAATACTGTAATACAATCAAGCAACAGTTTTTTTTCCCATTTAGTTAAATCTGATTTCTATTTTATCGTCCGGAACAGGCCATGTCTGTGTGGCCCCAGCCTCTGTTTTAAAACGAGGCTAAGTGCGAAGCCATTGATATGAAAATGAGTTATTACTCTCATGCAAATAAAACTCATTTTCACAAGAAAGGTTTTGCACTTAGCGTCGTTTTGAAGGTGAGAGATATGGCTTACTCTTCTCTCCCTTGAGTCGTCTCCAGATTCAAGAGGTGTTCGGCGATCGAGTCCTTTATCAGTATACGCGAGAGACTGGGTAGGTGTTGCGTCGGATAGCACAGCGCATGAATGACGTCAGAGTGACTAATTTGCAATGTTGGTCAGACTTATCATTTTGTGTCATTTTAATGACAAATGTCAGATAAACATGACATTTTTCGTGACTAAATACAAACAAAAGTGAACAAGTCGCTTTGTCGGAGATTTAGTTCTATAAATAGAAACTGTATGCAACGCTATCGAACTATGGACTATTTGGGGACGTGATCTCTTCTCTCATTGGCCATCACAAGGTTGCGCTAGAGACTGGATCAGAATGTGTCCTTCAAATCAGTACCACAGTGCAATTCGACACGACACCGACCCAGTCTCTCGCCAAACTTTAAAATGGCCAATGAAAACAACCCTGATGCGATGCCGAACGATTGGGTCAAATCGCCTGGAGAGAGCTGATGTCTACGTATGGGCTGGTTTTCCATATAGTTGCAGCGATTCGGACGATAAGATGAAAACCAGGCTTCAGGAACCGAACCCAGAGTAAATGGGACCAAGCGCAATATTTTACCAGCTTGAAACATTTTATGTTTCAGAAAGATTAACTCTTTTTCCTCTTTTTCAGTCCAACTGCTATTCTCGCGTTATTAACGTGGATGGCCAGAAGAAAATCATTATCTTCGCCTCAAGAAGGTATCGTTCTTCCTTTTTNTTGGTCAGACTTATCATTTTGTGTCATTTTAATGACAAATGTCAGATAAACATGACATTTTTCGTGACTAAATACAAACAAAAGTGAACAAGTCGCTTTGTCGGAGATTTAGTTCTATAAATAGAAACTGTATGCAACGCTATCGAACTATGGACTATTTGGGGACGTGATCTCTTCTCTCATTGGCCATCACAAGGTTGCGCTAGAGACTGGATCAGAATGTGTCCTTCAAATCAGTACCACAGTGCAATTCGACACGACACCGACCCAGTCTCTCGCCAAACTTTAAAATGGCCAATGAAAACAACCCTGATGCGATGCCGAACGATTGGGTCAAATCGCCTGGAGAGAGCTGATGTCTACGTATGGGCTGGTTTTCCATATAGTTGCAGCGATTCGGACGATAAGATGAAAACCAGGCTTCAGGAACCGAACCCAGAGTAAATGGGACCAAGCGCAATATTTTACCAGCTTGAAACATTTTATGTTTCAGAAAGATTAACTCTTTTTCCTCTTTTTCAGTCCAACTGCTATTCTCGCGTTATTAACGTGGATGGCCAGAAGAAAATCATTATCTTCGCCTCAAGAAGGTATCGTTCTTCCTTTTTCTTAAGTCTTGTATTGCGTACGGGACTATTTGACGATGTTTAGCGCATTGTTTTGATTTTTGATTGGTGGATTTCGATCCGTTTTGTGTGTTTCTGTGTTTCAGCAGCGAAAAACGCAATTGTGAAGGCGGCTTTGAACTTCAGACTTCGCCTGTTTTTGAAAAGCGCAGTAATCCTCAAAAAAGAGAGTTTTCTGTTTTGCTAAATATCCTCTGTCCCCCCTATTCAGTGTGGGGATATAACAGAACAATTACGCTCACAAACATTAACGTTTCGCTCAACATTGGGCCAGGGGCGGAGAGAGGAAGGAAAAAAGAGGTTAAAAATAGCAGGCCTTCCCATAGCCTGTGTACAGACCCCCCCCCTCCCGATTTTTTCTGAGGGAGGGAGGTTCTGTACACAGGCAAGCCTTCCCAAAACTTTTGTCGATTGTAGTTAAGACCATTTGTGAAAGAAGTCAAAGCATTTTCACCAAGATGATCATTTTATTAATTCGCGTATTTTTTTTTCTCTTGATTATGTATTGACAGAAACTCAAAACTGGTTGAAACGTGTAACTCACGTTCAATGGTAAGCTTCTTGGTTTCAACCTTTGAAAGCTTACTCAGCTTCCGGAAGTTTTTCCCCTGTTTGTCGGCCATTTTTTTGGGGGGGGGCGGGGGGTGGGGGCGCGGGAACATGAAGTAAAATTACGTCAAGTCGTTTACGAAGTTTGATTGGTCAGCTATCTTTGCTTCTCGTTCCAAATATGGTACTTTTGAAACTGAATAATCACGAGCATCGGAGAAAGCAAACATATGAGAGTTACACGTTTCAACCGCTTATGAGTTTCTGGTGTTGATATCTTTAGGAGAAAATTGATGTTGTTCACTCTTAAGATTTCAAGGGTTAAAACCAAAGCGCTCCTTGTTTGGTGCCGTACAGAGTAAAAATAGAATTCAATTATTGAAATAACAACCGTGATGTTATTTCATTCACGGTTATGTTTGCTAACCACTGTCTTTTCTAATTGTCATTTCAGTATATCCAGAGGGGAAGAACTGACATATGACTACAAATTTCCAATTGAAGACGAGAAGCTGCCTTGTCTTTGCAAATCTAAACACTGCAGAAAATACCTCAACTGAATTGTCATATTTCTTTTATCATCAAAATCAATTGCATTTATTTATAAAACAATGTACAAAGCTCGTGATGTAAAGTATTATGTTATTTAGCTTATTTACAATCTCTCTTTCCTATTTACAATGTTATCTAATTTCCCGCGTTTCTCGATGAATTCCCCCGCCCTTCCCCAAAAATGTTTCTATGGTGATCGTAGGGATTTCTTTATTCTTGAACTCGCATAATTTATGACCAATTATAGAAAATTATATAACGTTTCGGTGTAATAAATTATGGATATGAGCAGAATAAATTTTTAGTGCTATGTGATTTTCGTTATCTTTGGTCTTTTTCTGTCCCTTGTTATTTTCTAACCGAACTTTTTTGTTCGTAAATGCACTCTGCACAAGATATTTTCAGTTGCTAAGATACCTTGTGATTGCTAGTGTCGCCATTGTTTGCTTGTGCGCGACAAACCGACTATTTTCGCAGATAACACTCGGTTACGCAATACGTAGTTCTGCGAAACGCGTGTTGCCTTGCTCATGTCCGATTTCTACCTTTGAGGTGATTTATCAGCGAGTTTCTTCGCAAGAGTTTCCAAAAACATCTCTCGACGAACATTAGTTTACAACTAGCCTGCGAGCAAGCTCTCCATTTGGGAGAGTCGCAAGAGTTCACGCGAAAGTCACACAGGAAAGGAGACGCGAGTGCTTCGCTCTCGCTCGCGCGTTCTTTTGCGGATGGTTTCGCTCGCCATCCTTGGAGAGCTTGCTCGCAGGCTAGTTTACACAAGGAGCGTGTTACGTTAACCATTGCATAAACATTAAAAAAAAATCGCTAAGAAAAAGTCACAAAATCGCATCCAAAATCTCTCGTAATGAATCGCAGTTTAGACAGGCCTTACATTGGAAAGACCTTGTTGTGCTTTTGTGCCAACATTCTCCATGACTTTCCGACACCCTTTTGAGTATGGTCAATGTTGGCATTAGGCAGCATTTTTCGGTGAGCGTTTTTCACAGAAGATTCATCATCCCCTCTGTTGTAGTGACTAATGCATGATTCTTCAAATTCAAAGCTGTCATCAGATGTTATAGAAGAACTATCTGACGCAGTAGAAGATGATGTAGTGCTTGCAGGACTTGCACTCTCGAAGCTACTCTCATCGCTATCATTCATGCCACAGTCGGCCACGCCCATCTTGCCTTGTTCCTCAGGAGTATTGTGGCGCCGAATATAACTCGACCTTCTCTTGATTGAACTGATCTTCAGGGCGAGTTGTTTTCTTAAGGCGCGGATCTGGTCTTGTCTATTAATCTTCTTCCTGTCGCGGTTCCTTAGCCCTTTCGCCCTCATGCTTTCATCAGCTTGTTTTTCTTTGGGTTTGATCATGGTCAAGTACACTTCTTTCCACGGCTGGGGGCGGGGCGGTGGCCCTGAATAGCCGAAGTGACGCACAGGCGAAGGTTCCGGTGGACTTGATTCCTTTGGTGGTGATTTGCTCCCAACTTTCTTGTTGTCTTCCTCCAATTGACGCTCCTCAGTTGGAGCAAAAGAAAATTTTATCTGACAAACTTTGGGCTCCACCACATCGTTGTCTCTACCCGGCGGCCATGGTGTCCCGCATATTTTTAAAGCATCGAGCTCTTCTTGCGGCAGAGCGATATTTCTATCGTTTTCTGATAAAGTTGAGGAAGAAGATACTTCTGATGGCGACTCCTCCCTTGATTCAATGTCAATCAATTCCACACTATTGGACACATTTGGGGCGCTTTCAGCAGCTTCCTTCATTCTCAACGCGTTTTGTCTTTTATGAATCTCAACAGCATCATTTTTTTCTGAACAAATAACGGATTGACAGATCCCCATTTTTGAGACGAACGTAAGTCAACCCAAAGAAAACTTTCCCTTTTTATATATTTTTTTTTCATTGTGACGTTAATAGCACGTGTTCCAATTTTGTGCGCACGCGCAAAGTATTCTCTGTCAGAGACTTAATGAGCCGTTTTACTAAATATATTTCTCATTAGTACCATAATTTCGTGCGTCTAGGCTCACTTAAAATGGATAGCCTTCAGTTCTAATGAAATCTTATTGTTTGTGATCACAGGATGTTACTAGCGGTCATTTTTTGTTCCAAATTTCGCATATGGCTATGCATATGATATTACAGAGGTTAAAGCATCACCTTTACGCCAAACGGCAAACTCGAATTTGTACCACGTGACCAAGCTTTCCCTTAACTTTTCGTTTACTGTTAATTATTTCTAAACATAAATTGGTGTTTCACGGAATTGTTCATCTGTAAGAATTATTTTGAACCGCTTTTATCTGTTCATTTTCTATATTAGAAATTCTTAGCTTGAATCTGACTTTTGCTGTTTGCTGTATAGGTGAAGCTTAAACTCTGCTAACAGAAAACAACAATAAAGGGAAAAGTTCAATAGGAAAGATAGTACTAAGGCTCAAAGAGGAATAAGAAACCCCGTCATAAGATGCAAAACAAACTTTATGTGGGCGAAACAGCTGTCTACGGCTACGACCACGCTCTATTTTTGGTTCTTTCGGTGTCATGTTGATGTCTTGCAAAGTTAACTTTCACGTAGGACGATCAGCTTTGCAGAATTCAGTGTGTCTACTCAGTGTATGATTTTGTTGGTCAGGTCTTTAATAGATCCTACGTTTTGCGCTTCGTTTGCGGTCCTTTGCAGTTTAAATGTCAATTTATGTGAGCTCAATTTAAGCGCACAGCTGCATCCTGACAAAAATTACAAGCTTATATCATCTATCATCATAGGCCACTTCCCACTTCCAAAAACCCCTACTTTCAAAATGAGGCCAAGTTCACAACCTTTCTTGTGAAAATAAGTGTATAGTTTACACGACAATGAAAAGGCCGCGCGCTTAACATCGTTTTGATACAGAGGCCCGGGGGAACTCTGAAATGGCCTTTTTATTTATTTTGATGGATTTGAAACTGAAATTATGAAAAATGCGAAGTGGTAAACAACAAAACAAATGTATTTCTTATTACTGTTGTTTATTTATCTAATCTATAACCCCAAACTGACCCATTATCCGGTGCTAAAATATGCTTTCTTAAACGCTAGCTGGCTGGAATTTTCCAGAGCACAATAAATTTGACATTTGTTTAGTGATAAGCTCAGTTCACATAAGGAAGAAATGTTTTTCTAGTTATAGAAAGGTGATGCGTGGAATAGCATTTTTTGCTGCATCATCCCGAACCCTCCAATCCCTCCCTAGACGGGCGGCAGTTGTCGTTTGATCACGTGATAACTGTAGCAAGGATTGGAACCCGCTTTCGTGTTTACATGGAGTAGTGGATATCTTGCGAGTAGTGAATGGTTATTTCCTTGATTTTCAATCTGGAAATCATGTTGGTAAAAAGATGATCCAAGTTGGCCAAGGTTCACGCACTCGATCACGTACTGGAAATGAAAATATGCTGAACGTGAAGCAGGAATCCGAGAGACTTCTGATCCGCTTGGGAAGACGGGAATTTTTTGGAAGAATTAGTTTGCAGACTGTCTTTACCACTGTTGTGTTAGCGGATTACCTTAGTTAGAAAAAGCAATATATGTATCTGTTTTCTCATTGTGGACTCGCTAGCAACGTTGTATACTTTGTGCGCGAGATTTGGTTATTTGATAGCAAGACCACCTGATAGAAATATGGCGGTTGTATACAAGTGGTTCGGTTTGGTTTTATTCTCATTAACTTGTCTAACAGTTTCTGAAGCTAGATGCGGTGGAAGGACTGTTTTAACTGATTTACAGGGAACTATTTCTGATGGACCCAGTAATTATCCAGACAACACAACGTGTGAATGGCTGATAAATGGTGAGTAATTCATAGCGTGCTCTGTCGTGTTCTGCATTGCTAAGCTTGTGTCACATAAAGAATCGCTTACACTTACAATTGCAACTNAGTGTATAGTTTACACGACAATGAAAAGGCCGCGCGCTTAACATCGTTTTGATACAGAGGCCCGGGGGAACTCTGAAATGGCCTTTTTATTTATTTTGATGGATTTGAAACTGAAATTATGAAAAATGCGAAGTGGTAAACAACAAAACAAATGTATTTCTTATTACTGTTGTTTATTTACCTAATCTATAACCCCAAACTGACCCATTATCCGGTGCTAAAATATGCTTTCTTAAACGCTAGCTGGCTGGAATTTTCCAGAGCACAATAAATTTGACATTTGTTTAGTGATAAGCTCAGTTCACATAAGGAAGAAATGTTTTTCTAGTTATAGAAAGGTGATGCGTGGAATAGCATTTTTTGCTGCATCATCCCGAACCCTCCAATCCCTCCCTAGACGGGCGGCAGTTGTCGTTTGATCACGTGATAACTGTAGCAAGGATTGGAACCCGCTTTCGTGTTTACATGGAGTAGTGGATATCTTGCGAGTAGTGAATGGTTATTTCCTTGATTTTCAATCTGGAAATCATGTTGGTAAAAAGATGATCCAAGTTGGCCAAGGTTCACGCACTCGATCACGTACTGGAAATGAAAATATGCTGAACGTGAAGCAGGAATCCGAGAGACTTCTGATCCGCTTGGGAAGACGGGAATTTTTTGGAAGAATTAGTTTGCAGACTGTCTTTACCACTGTTGTGTTAGCGGATTACCTTAGTTAGAAAAAGCAATATATGTATCTGTTTTCTCATTGTGGACTCGCTAGCAACGTTGTATACTTTGTGCGCGAGATTTGGTTATTTGATAGCAAGACCACCTGATAGAAATATGGCGGTTGTATACAAGTGGTTCGGTTTGGTTTTATTCTCATTAACTTGTCTAACAGTTTCTGAAGCTAGATGCGGTGGAAGGACTGTTTTAACTGATTTACAGGGAACTATTTCTGATGGACCCAGTAATTATCCAGACAACACAACGTGTGAATGGCTGATAAATGGTGAGTAATTCATAGCGTGCTCTGTCGTGTTCTGCATTGCTAAGCTTGTGTCACATAAAGAATCGCTTACACTTACAACTGGAGTTTGTTCCCGCTTGGATAATCTTCGAGTGAACACGTAAAAAAAGTTTTTTTTCTTCATACATCTACATTGGGAAGCAATGTCCAGTTGTAACTGTTCTATCGATAGTTCATTATTAAAGTAAACTAACGTTATCGCCTAATTAATTAACGTTTCACTAAGCTGTCGATTTGTAGTGATTGTACGGGTGATGGAATCATTCTGTCTATCTTAGCTGCAAACAGTTTTCTGTGGTGTGGAACACAATTCAGGGTGTTTATTTTGGGGGCTATAGGTACATTATGTACGATGTCTTCTTCAGCTTAAATTTAGTATTTTTGAGGTCTAGGGAAGTTATTGAACATAAACACATTATTGAGGAAATAAATATTGGGCAATCATTATCTCCATGGCTTTGTACACAAATATTGACTGATCTGGTAACAAACTGGATTCAATCTGTGTACAGACCAAGTAGATTTTGTCTGAGACTGAAATTACCTGTGAGTTGAAAAAGACATTTAAATTATGGTATTTTGGGGATCAGTTATTAAGTGCTCTTTGAATATTGTATGATCCAGTTTTTATTAGAGTGAAGGTTATTATTTACCAGTTTTTAAATCATCAACAATGAAAAATCATCAGAGTTGGCTTTGAAAGCTTTTGTTGACTGTCATGAAAGCTGAACAACAAGTTAAATAGAAAACTCAATTAGTGGTTCCTGAGGGAAAGATGAAGTGTTGCGTGCAGATGTTCCTAGTTATAAAGCAACATTTATTTCAACTAAAATTTATTGTCATAAAGAGTATCATAACTAGGGAAAGCTGTACAGGGCCAATTTCCTAGAATTGCTAAGTGGCTGGGTCAAGCCACAAGTTTTAATGTTCTAAGAGTGAAAAGATCAATGTGCAATGAGTAAAGAAATTTAAAGAATTGATGTTGTTTACATCAAGGCTGTGCTCTACTATTACCCGGGGGGCCACTGGTAACTTACTTTTTCTCTTGAGTGACTAAAAGCGCTCTCCAAAAGTGAGAACTGGCCAGCCAGACCATGGCCAGACTGGTCAAATGAAAATGAAATAGGCTTTTTCCAAGAGTTTTTGATGAAAAAGCATTTCCTTTGTGCATACTATTTAGAAAATGACTGATCTAGCTGGATAATTTTGATGAAAAGTTAAATTCACATTACCACAGGAATGGCCTGGCCGGTCAGTTCTGACAAATCTTTTTCATAAAAAAGCAAATCTTGGGTACCCTGGATTTCCCAATTTAAGAGCACTTATAGGCCAGTGATTTTGTTACAAATAGTTAAGGTGAGTCCTGGGACTGATCTTGTGGAAAATTGTGAGTCCCAGTCCAGAAAACCAGTCAGTCCCTGGGTCTTTTTTAACCACAGTTAATCTGAAGATAAACTTCAAAACTCTGTATTACAGTTTACTGAAATAGAAATATACCGGTAGTCCTTTTATTGTAAAGCACATCAAAGACTGAAAGGTGTATGCCTTGTTTAACAGCAGCCACAAGAACAACCACAGAAATCACACAAACAGGTTGTTCTACTAAAAACCTCTTCAGATCGATCAATAAATCTGTGCCTCCTACTGGACATATGCACAAATTATTTTGCGTCTTTGGGGATTTTTATTTGTCAGGGACGCAGGACTCAGAGGTAACAAAATCACTAATAGGCTCTCTTGAATTTTTCTTTGCCAATGGGCACAGTCTTGATGCTTGTTTGTGTTTTGTTGTTGTTGAGCAGGAGAAAAGCATTGTAAAATGCCTGCTTGTATATGTTGAGAATCAAACAAACATTGCCAAACAAAATCTGTTCCAGTGGGAAAAACTAGGACATTGTGAGCAGGTGAG